TACCTTCAGTTGCCTTTCTGTAACATTCACGCGTCACGTACTAATGTTGGGCTTAATCACTCGTCGCTTATAAACCCTTTCCCACCCTCGGGAATAAAGGAGAAGTGATGAATACTTCGGCTAGCATTAAGCAGTAATCTGGTGAAAAGTGTTGACGAATAGTTTATGTAGCATCCAAGTAATTTTTACAGGCCACAGGTGGGTTTTATCGTGTAAGACAAATGCACAGAACAGTATATTACGTCACTGGTCCTCAAAACCCTTAACCACTGACGTACTTGCGGTTTTTTCTTCTCACACTATGTCGGACAAACTAAGAGAATTAAGAGAAAGAGAACACTTATGCACATATCAAATACTGAATAACAGTATTTTTAAAAAAATTATACACTTTACAGCCTCATTTTCACACGAGAATGCCGTCATCTTGGAATTTGAATTTAACCTCAAAGTCCTGGGTATCGTTAATCTTGCACCAAGATCCTACCGTGTAACTTTAACTGAAGTGTGCAACTACTTGACCGTGATCATTGATCATTGTTGTTGTCATCTTTGCTATCATTTTTATCATTACTATCGTTATCATCATTATCTATGTTATTGTCATTGTCATTATCAATGTTATTATTACTATTATTATGATTATTATTGATATTGTGTATCATTATCATTATTTTCAAAAACTCATTAAAATTCATAAGCCCATTAACCTATCAAATGGTAGATAATACATCACGTGCAGTGACTTTATATCGATAAACCTCATCCTTATTAGTATGCGGTGTTTTATCAGATATAAAGACACTGCACGTGACTTATGAATATTAATTAATTATCAACACAGAAACTGACACAACAAATGAACAAAAGCATAATTGTTATGAACTGTCTTGACACACGCTTTTCCAAGAATGTTTTTGAAGCCGTTCAAAAAACTCGCAGCACGTGTTTTATCGGGTCAAAAACCAATAAAACACTCCTGCTCGTTTTTTAAACATTACATCATGGTCATCATTATTATTTTTATATCTTATTTTTCTCACTATTCTTGCAGCATGGGTGAGCTCTATCATTATGGCAATATTTCTATTCTTTGGGCCTGTAATTGGCGTCGTCGTTAACCGTTTTGGATGTCGTGTGGCCAGGATCATAGGTTGCCTGTCCTGTGCTGTCGGTCTCGGCTTGGGCTCTCTGGCTCCGAACATCATTGTTTTATATGTAGCCTTTTGTATACTCTTCGGCTTTGGTACGTCATTCATTTACCTTTCCTCGCCATTGATTATGACCCACTACTTTAATAAGAGAAGATCCGTGGCTCTTGGAATTGTGACAGCCGGTCAAGGTCTGGGAACTATGATATGTGGTCCCGTTTTACAGGTGATGGCTGCCATGTCCAACTGGAGGAAGACTTTTCTCATGTTCGCGGGTATTTTGGCTCTCTCGTCCTTGACGGGCTGCTTTCTGAAACACGATAGCTCCAGATCCACAGCTTCGTCGACCCAAGGCGAGAAAAATTCAAAGAAGTTTGGTTGGAATATAGCTGTTTGTAAGAACCCCAAATTTTTGGTTTTACTGGTTATGAGTACACTTTTCAACTTTGTTCGGATGATTCCTTACGTACACTTGGTGAGTTGCGGTATTAATTTGCATTAGCTATCGCGCATGGATTTTACATCATATTACGCAGCATGAAAGTTTAGCCTAGCATATACCCGTTAATAAGAAAGAAACAGTTCCCTAGAGTATTATCACATGACTTTCAACTCCTGTACGTCATGATGACGTCAGAGGGAGCTCAATCAATAGAGAATGTTTCCTCTCTGATGAGGGCTTAGGATGTTAACCATCACGGAGGTGTTAACAAAGTCAGATTTAACAAGAACTTGCAGATGTGTTCGCTAATTTTAGCACTCTCAGAAGGTTGCTACGTGATCTCATTTAGATACCCAAAAACAAATTTTTAGAAAATCAATAGCTTACAAATGCAATGCAATAATTATTGCATTTTAATTTAAGTTTCGCTTTTTTCAACAAATTAAATTAAGGCCTATACTTAATGGGTAAACAAAACGTACAAGTTAAGAAGCTTACTCGCCGAGTCCAGAGGGCAAACGCTTCAATCGTTCCATTTGCGAGACGCAAAAATATATGGAATGTGTGACATGCTGCAGTATAGATTTCTTATTAATTTATTTCTTTCATTATGTTCTTAGATAAAACACTGCGACGATCTTGGCATTCCAGCAGATAAGAGTTCCACACTTTTCACTATTATTGGAATATTTGCCGCCATTGGTCGTTTGTGCGCTGGCTGCCTTTGCGACCTCAAATATGTCAACTCACGCCTCCTCTACCAGGCAAGCGTGTTATTGAGTAGCGCCTCGATCATGCTTCTAACAGTGCCAAAGACTTACACCCCACTGGCTGCAGTAGTCATAATATTCAGCCTAGGGGACGGACTGGTAGTGTCAACATTCGTTATCGAGCTGTTCAAGTCTGTAAAGGAGTCAGAAAGAGCACTTTGCCTTGGATTTTGCATGATGGCAGGTGGGGCCCTAATCTTCTGCGGCCCGCCTTTAGCTGGTAAGATGTCAAGAACTCTCCTTTTCTTTCCACCGTTCAAACTCTCTAGGTCTTAACCTCATTTTTTCTCTCCTTTCTAACCCGCATAAATTTCCTCGCGAATTAATTAGTTCAGACCATTTGGTTTTGAATCAAGATTAGTGGCACCCTCAAACTGTTAGGGTCGTAAAATCAAAATAAAATAGAAAAATAATAAATTAAGTTTTAGTAGTGGCGCTTCCACTAAAGGGAAATGGAATTTTGAGGGATTTTTTTTTTCGGTAAAAGTTAAACCGGAAAAATCTGAGAAAACGTCGTAAGGTCGGTTTCCAACATGGAACTCCACTCCACAGTTAACGCCAAGTTTTGAAATCGAACCTAGTTCACAGCGGTGGGAGGCTAGCGCTCTGACCACATTCTCATTACCTATTTTATGTATGATGTGGTGAAGTTTTGGGGAGAGGTGGCATGTTAATCAGCCCTAAGAATTGAAAGTTTAAGCCCAAGGGCTACCGAACAGTAAATTTCGAGTCCCATTAACCGGACATTGCGAACTTTCTCTGAGGAGCTGAGTGATGTTTCAATCTGGAAGCTACGATCTATTACTTTACTTTTACAAAAACAGTTTAGGTTCATGTCTGTGAATGAATAGGCGTATTGTTAATCAGAACTTTTATTTATCCCAAATTTAGGTCTTATGGCAGACAGATTTGGAAACTACATAGCTGCATTTCTCGTGGCGGGAGGTGTTGGGGTTGTCAGCTCTCCCATCCCTTTTCTCATTCCGTGTTTCGAGCCGCAAAATAACGGCGGAGATCCCGTGGAACATCTTGAAGAATTGATGGACAAGGATATATGTGTTTCTCCACCAAACTACAAATCTACAAATGGTGATATTCCCAGAACAGTTTATCCTAAAGAGTCAGTAGAGTCGTTGAATGCAAAAAGGACGTCTATGGTGCGCGCCGCGTCTAACAGGCCTGTATCGTTTATGTGGGCCATGGAAAGTCCTTATAATTTTTAACAAAGTATTCTATTCCAACTATACTAACAGAGTAGAGCGCTTTTCCACTGAGTGTCGTTGAACCATAATCAAAGTAATTACAACAGCCAATCAGGAGAAAGGAAAATACCTTGAAGAGCCAATGAGAACTCAAAATAAAAACTAAAGCGCGGGAAAACGCGGTTGGTGGCAACGTTTATATCAATTACTCCCGCTTCGCTCTTTGATTGTTTTGTTTACCACTAGTTGATTTAGTTAAGTAGACTGTCTTGTAAAGTTAATTTCAGATCGAAGAAAAATCGGTTATACGATTGCGAGTATTCTTCGGTAATGGGCCGTCTTGGTTTTCACGCGGAACACAAGTTCTACCTTATATTATTATATAGGGAGAAGTTCCATATTAATCAGTTGTTAGAGTTATAGGGTTAAATGATGGGTCAAGTGTTTGAAAATGGAATCTTTATTTTCTTATAACCAGATATAAATTATACAGAAAGACAAATTAATGCAACTTATTTTTCACTGGAGAATCGCAGTTTTTAAGTTTTTTAATTTATAAAATATGAATAAAAGAATACACACGCAATCATGTGCTTAGTAACTATCACAATAAGAGAGATGGTAAATTTTTAACTCGGAAGTGGAGGAGAGTTTTTTTTTTCGTCTTGTCGATGCTAGGGCAACTGAATTTCTGAGGTTCAATTCCTCGTGGGGAGTCATTATTTCGTAGTTATAGTAATGTATGCGTTCAAACCCGTTCAGGAACCAAAACTGAACGTCCTTTTTACTTATATAGCTGTGAAAATGAAGATCAGGAAAAAAGACCATTATCCACTGACATTTTAAAAAGCTACTAAAAAGTAGCTTTTTTTTTTGCAATGGAGTCTTTATTACCACGAGAAAAAATCTTAGGCACAGAAACAAAATTTAATAAAACTTTTTTGTCGCTAAAGAATCACAGTTTGTGCGTTTTTAGATATTTTATTATTTATAGTATAGATATGTGTGTGTATATATATATATATATATATATATATATATATATATTTTTTAAGAGGAAAAAAGGACGCAACTACATTTTCCCGACAAGCCTGTTTCCTTTTTTCCTCTTAAAATATACGTATTGAGCACTGTTCCACGCGAAAATCGACTTGCAGACTTCCGCTATATATATATATATATATATATATATATATATATATATATATATATATATATATATATATAAATATTATGAGAGGAAAAAAGGACGCAACTACATTTCCCGACAAGCCTGTTTCGTGAATCGCTTCACTCTTCAGGGGTTTAATGAAAGAATATTCATGTGACTATCGTGTATATACTAGGAGAATTTACATAATACGCGGTAAACTTAAAAACTTTAAAGTTCATCTGTTGCGTAGTTGCGATAAAGAAAAATATTAATTATGGGATTATCAGTTGATCCAGTACCAAATACTCTAAACTAAACTCATATGAATTGTATAGCAGACAGTAAGGAGGATAACCAATGAGATCTTAGGAGTGAAAGGGTTAAATAGCAGTATTACATGCGTCAAAGAAGTTTTGTTTACGTGGCGTTCATTTTTGACACGCGACCTCCAAATGTAAGGCCTGGCACCAAAAATGCGGGGCGTAGGAGTCGTAAGACAGACGCAAAGACTGTTTGCACCAGATACATATGGGTACATATGTACTTGTATTTTACTTGTTTGACTCAACTAACATGTCGTACGCAACAACTGACAAATATTGTAAAAAGAAAATTTCATAGGTGCCCACACCTCCTCAGCGCAGCGTTTTTTATAACCTTCGATCAGGCGTTTTTTTTGTTTTCAGTCCACAACCGCAAGCCTTTCGCACTCGAAAACCGCCTGATCGCAAGTTACGCTTTTTAAACCGCCTATTCTTCAAGAAACTACTTTCCTGATTTTTCTATTTCCTATTTTCATGATACTAATTTCTATAATTCCGATAACATTTTGACCAACGTGAGTCTGTCAGTCTATATAAGAATTCGCTGCAAAAGAATTTGCTAAATGCTTAGTTAAGAGCGTGGCTATTGTTCACTTTATGTCACCTTGAGATTTACTTTACGCATCCAACCGTTTGATTGACAGCAGCTGAAATCTGTCAAGGGAATCATGTATTCTCAAAGCTTTATCTGCTGACCAATCACAACCGACTAGTTCAAGATATGCAAATTATTATGCCGCCCGCTGATTAAATGGGCACTGCAGGTACATGTCGCGAAAGACAATAGCATTCTGGGCGATGTGATAACGTCAACAGCTTATTCGAGGAACTAGGCTCTAACAACAAAGAGATTATTCACTCAGAGCAGGAGTAAAGTGCTCCTGCCCACGGCAAATGTCACTTATTTATTTTGAAAACAACGGTCATCATTCCATAATATGTAGGAGCCCAGCGGCCTAAGAAGTGCGATGTGACACTAGCACCCTCTTCACTTTCCTTTTCTAAAATACTTTGGAGAATTGGAATGCTTCTCCTGCCACAAGCCTTTGCTATTGGGTTGTCTTCAAGAATTCTGTCCAGCCACGGCGAACATTGTCTGGCCACCCACGGGTGAACCTCATCCACTTGACCTGAGATGAAATGTTTTGACCAAGTTATGAAGAACAATATACATTCAAAATGAAAGTTTTTCTTTAGTCAGTATTGCCCGCAAAGGTCTGGACCTAGTTGTTCAAAAGCTGAATAACAGTATCCAACGGATAAATCGTTATCTTGCGAAGAAACGTGAACGAAACCTACTGTTTTCACCGCCAATTAAAGATTCATCCCGCATTTAGCGTTATCCATAAGAAAAGAACCTACAAAAATTCTGGTAAGTGAGGATTTAAAAATGAGAAGATCTACACAGGTAGGGGTTCTGAGAGGCCAGCAGCACATACCCCCAAAAAATGACCCAAGTACCCCACCACCCACCTCCCTCTTGTCTTGAAATGTTCCTCTTGACACTCTTAAGATAGAAATCCCATGCATTTCAAACATAAAAAGGTCGCCAGGTATAAATTTTGGTACAAATATGTACTAATACTATGTCCCTAAAGTGCAGTCTTCATACTGGTTAACCTGCTGTCAAATCCCCACCCAGAATACTCTTCTCATTCAACAGGGCTGGAATGTTGGACTTCAATTCTATGCTCTTTACTGTAGGAAAACAATAGCCATAAAGTTACAATCAGAGCCACTGAGGGCTGCAAATAGTTCTACTGACTGCTGCTTATGGATGTTAGCTCTGTATCAATGAGTGTCATCAATCATCTCTCATCTCTACCTGTATCTTTTAGCACATCATCACCATATGGTATGCCTCTAGCCCACATCTCCCACATCCTGTCGAATTCCACTGCAATTTCTGATGGTTTCAAGTTGGATCTAGGGTCTAAGGAAGAAATTTTCAAAAACAATTATAGAACATTATACTGTTAACCCTTTCACTCCCAAGATCTCATTAGCAATTCTCCTTACTATCTGCCATACAATTCTCATAATGTTGTTTGGAGAATTTGGTATTGGATCAATTGATAATTACCTAGTAATTGATATTTTTCTTTATTCTCAATACTAGTCTGCTTTAATGTTGTTTCAAAATTGTAAGGAGAAATTCAGTCTTGGTCACTCATGGGAGTTAAAGGGTTAATAACCCTTTACCTCCCAAGATCTCATTAGTAATTCTTCTTACTGTCTGCCAAATGATTCTCATTATGTTAGTTTGGAGAATTTGGTATTGGATCAATTAGTAATCCCACAACTGATATTTTTCTTTATTCTCATCACTTGTCTGAATGATCAACTGATAATTACCTAATTGATAATTTTCTTTATTCTCAATACTAGTCTGCTCTAATGTTGTTTCAAAATTGTAAGGAGAAATTCTGTCTTGGTCACTCACAGGAGTTAAAGGGTTAAAACAAGGCAACTCAATCAATTCCCATTTGCAAATTTCAGGTACAAATAATAGTCAGTTATTAATGTTAGCTTGTGCTAGTTATTTTCCTCATGAAAATATATTTCACCATCAAAGGAGAAGAAGGATTTTCATTATGGAACCATACCACAAGAGACCCACTCAACTTTTAGGTATCAAAACAAAATGAATTTTACATGGGATTATGGATTTAACAGAGCTTAGTAGAAGATGGGTCTATCCTTAATTGTCAAATTTTCAACTCGGGATATTGATATTAGTGTTCTGATTGGTTCATTCACCTCCGGGCATCAAGCAAGCAGACCCTCATTAGTGCTGCAGGATGAAAATTTCTCCACCTACAGGAAGATAGGAGATGAGTTGGGAGAGGTTTTACAGATGTCTGGCACTAATGGTAGCACCCTTAAAAACATCTTGCTGGCTAGAGTATCTCAAGGCCTCATATTTTCCTGTAGGCACAGAAATGCTTGTGCTGAAGTGCTAGTTCTGAGGGTCTTCTCTCAGGCTACCATTTTGACTGAATTGTATCAATTGTATTGTTTGATAAAAATGTAAAGGAACATGTCTCAATACATACTTCTTGGCATGCAGGGAATCTAATCACGACTACATTGACTGAAAAATTCAAAGTAGCGGTGGCACAAACAGATTGTGTGGGGTCTTGTGCAAGCATCTTGTTACTTCATCGCAGTATGTCGTTTTATTTTATCACCTTTCCGTGACAAAAAGGGGATCAAATGCAACCTTGCGCTGGAAACCCTTAGCTATGCTGTTGGAGAGTTCTGTCTGTCACGCAATATCATACTCTCGAACAAGGTCATCGGGGTGTATGACAAAAAGAACACATAATCATGAAATGATTAGTATATAAATACCTGGCAAATACAGTGGAATATTGCAAGTTGTCTCATGCGTGTGAGCTAGATCTCCGCTCATTACTAAAGCTACCCGCTGCTCAAGACCTGAAACAAATTCGTGGAAAGCCTTCCCAATTACATCCAGTCCTTCAGTATTTCTCGCAGTAGCCACAATCACGTACTTCACCTTATCCGAGTCAGTCTTACTGTTAATAAACCATAGAGGCACAACCTCAGCCCACCTTATCGGTGCCTCCATCATAGAAAACGTTATGACACCATCTGCTTTAATCCCTCTCTGCTGAACAAACTCTAGAAGCTGAGCAGCGAGTTGAGAATCTAACGGAACATTCAGCTCGACTTCTCGCCACTCGTCATTCCACAGAGCATTTCCTTGCGCAACAGAGGCCAAGTAGATACCAAGCGAGCCAGATGACAGGGATAACCCATGTGGGGTAACAAGAATAACGACATCAGGGTTCATCTTGGCCAACAAGTCAGCTGCCCGCTCACAAGAAGAGTACAATGCAGAGCACTGTTTGATGAGCCCTGTAGGCATTGTGGAATTCCTTTTACGGCATGCGACGCTTTCCGAGTGAGGATCACCATCAAATATCATTGTTCCATGAGGCAGAACAGCTGCTCCGACCAAAACCATGTTGAGAATTTCCTTTACCTTAGAAAGTGAACCTTAATGGAGTTTTTCCGCTACTAACTGGATTATTGTTGTGTATGACACACGAATTATCCCACCTTACAACCACTGCAGCAGAGTAGGAAAATGATCAATGAAATAAAGGGAAAATGAAAGACGCCAGAGCCTTTTCCAGGCGCTCAGTTAGTAAAACGAAGCGTGAAAGAAAATTTAGTTACGGATGAGCGAAAAAACAGGGAAGACTTGTGTTGGGGTGTGCAATGAACACGACTCGACCCAAGCCTCCATCGCTTTTGCACTCCTCTGCTATAAACACACTTTTGCCTTTTCGCTCCGTTCGACAAACTGAACATCTGAAACAGGCTAAATACGCCACCAAAAGTAGACGTTTAAAACGTGAAACCAAGGAGAGACCCTAGAAACGAAGGAGCTTGAAATTACAAGGCTTCACGGGGAACCCAACTTCTCAACTTTGAACAGCTACTTCACGCTACCTCTACTTGGCATTCGTAACTCAGATCATCGAAACTGCTTTAGAGTTTCAAGAAAACCAGATGGTAAAAGGACGCATAGTAGACGATCGCACTCGTGATAACAAAGTTACCGTGCCATCGAGGAAGGAGTCTTAGTTTTATGTGTGAGAAGAATTGGCGAACCCTTGATAACTAACCTTTTTACCACAACTGCAACATGATTTGTGATTCCCAGCGATGCAGACTCTCCTTCTTATGAGCACCGAGCTTAAGTACTGCAGGATGGACAAGTCTACCTCTATCGCTTACACCAGCAGCACATATATGCATACACATCGTGCATTTCATTCGTACACAATCATATTTCGAGCAAGCTTTCAACTCCTGGAAGTTTCGTGATTGAAACAGATTACTGGTTAATCTGATGCAAAACTAAAGCGTTCGCAAACGAATCATCCTCATCATTTTCCCGCGTTTGAGGACGCTCTTCATTTATGACGGTTTTGGTTATGATTACTTGTGACAATCGATCAAGGAGCTTCCTATTGCAAGAGAAACCAGGGTACCTTGTACCTTCAAATTAGCTGAACTACGTGCAGTCCCTCTCCTCCAGGAAAGCCGTCGCGCGAGAGTAAAAAAATAGCAGGTGGTTAACGGGCCGCACAGAACTTTGAGAATAACGCGCAGACTCAGAGTTCCGCGAGGCGGCTATCACCAGTTTCTTGTGTGTGTTTTACTAATATTTTTTAACTCGCCCAACGAACTTAGCCGAAACGGAGGGTCTGCTCGTAGTCTACACACAATCCCAAAAACCACGTCGTCAAAATCGTTTCAAAACCGTTATTTTATTGCTATTGCCGCATAAATTAAATACTCCTATTATATATAATTTGTTTGCACTAATCAAAGGCATAAAAAATGGACAGTAACAAGCGAGAAAATTAGGAGAAAAGCTTAGAAAGCATGAGTATGGATAAAAAGTGAAAATATTTCCCTAGAAGAAAATACTCAAGCTCATCGACATTTCACGCGGACAACACACGGAAACAGTTTGACGATCTCGGGGAATTCATTTCATTTCTTTACTGAAGCTTTGAGATAAGTTTTCAGTTAAGAAGGAGAAAGAGAGAGAAAAACAACAACAATAACAACAACATAACATATGTGAGAATGTCCGGCATCAAGTTCCTGAAGTTACATGCGACTGACGAATCGGTCAAATGAAAAACATAAATAAAGTTAAGACAACAAAAATAAATAGGATCTTGATCGTAGTCCCCGTTTGTTAATTGAAGGTCCTCTCGAGGTCTTTAAGCGTCATTATAATAAATTTCTCATTGTTGCACACCCAAAGAAGAGGAAAGAAGATTTCGTCTGTTCTACGACCACGATTAAAAGAAAATGATTTGCAATCTGTCACACATTTTAAAATAACAAGATTTACTTGCAATTTAGCGAGAAAACGAGTTCAAGCAAAGAATGAAGTCCACTCTTATCACTGCTTTCTTAGGAATCAAGTAAACTGTCTCAAGTCTTCAGAAGGATAGCACAAAATGCCGATGAGCTCAATGGTTTGGATGAGAGAGTAATAAGAGAGTATAATACAAATTCAACACCACAGCAAGCATACCGCGTCAAAATTTATACAAAAGTTTCCTATTGTGTTACACAGCCGTGCTTCCACTGCCTAGAAAATGAAAGGGACAGAAAAGAAATGACATGATATTGGGTATGTGCAGCTAAAACATAGCAAGGTGCAAAAAGATTTTAGATATCTAGATTAGTAAATTTGTATTTACAATAATTCAGTGGTGTTTTTATAACTACCAAGAAAGAAAAATATAGCCACACCGTCAAGGTAAAAATCATAAAGACGCATTTTACAGATTTTACTTCACTTACCAGATTTGGAATTCCTAGTGATGGGCCCCCATAACCGTACGGTTCCGTCGTCACTGGCTGAAGCCAACATATAGATATCCCTGGGGTTCCAACTGACACAATTTACTGTTCGCGTGTGTCCACTAAGTACTGCAACTGGTTTTTCACGTTTGAAATGCCAAATGTACACCTTGTGATCTGTGACAAGCATACGATATTTGTTACTGGATATTTGCGGCAATGTCTCATAGGTTAAAATGATTATGTAAGAGTCAGGACTAAGTTTACGATAGGTCGTAGTATTTTTGAATGCTAAACGCCAACATAAACTTCAAGGAGTTAGTGAAAAGCACTAAGACCTCTTGGAAACTTTGCCTCATCAGCTGCAATCGCAGGAAAACCAAGTAATCAAAATGTAATGGGTAGACCTATAACACCGACTCTTAAGCTGTTTGAGATCATCGTGTTATTTTCTTGATAGAGACGAAAGTCTATTCGCAAATTTGTTCTGGCCATTTACATCGAAGACGACGAAACGCTACAGGGTAAAATCAAGCTTCGTGGGTCACTCAGTCCGATTACACACTTTTATTCCTCAGATAGCCAAGGGTTTTCTAATCTAGACACACAATTTTTTAAAATGACATTCAGCAAAGGCCATCCATATCCCTTCTGACACTCACTGAAAATTACCCGGTTACCTTTATGCAGTGTACCTACAACTACCTCTCGTTATGCATGTTTATTGTAAATTTTGACATTGATTCCTAGCTAGCAATTAACTGATCACCATCACTTACAGTCAGCCTCACCTTCACTGCCACTGGCGAGAAAATCTTGATTCGCACCACCGAAACACGAGTATATAGTGAACCTGGCTTGCCTCACACCTTGGTATTTTCTGACTAGAACTCGATCTCTAATATCCCATAAATGAAGTCCCTGCAAGGATGGTGAAACACAACATAAAATTGAAGGTAAATTTTCAAAACACCCGAACCATAAAATTTTTCCCTGGAGAAGGCACACAGCGGATATCCATACCTGTGAAGCTACGTTTAAAAGTGCCCGTCGATCATCATCAGATACAGAAAATGACATAATTGGACGGTCTTCTTGTACTCTGAGAATATAAACAAACAAACAAAAAATCGACACAAAGGAAAAAAAAAGTAGCATAGTCACAATATCTTTGATAACTACCATTTTGATGAAATTAACACACAGTGACTGTCAATTGAATGGTTAAAGTGTGAACACACCTTCGACTGTCTATCATAATCACTGTTTGGTGAAGTGGTGCTCACATTTGGTACTGATAACTTTCTTCATACATTTTTAATTACATAGAAACAAGAAATAACTAAATTTATCCTGTGTATGATACAGGCATAACTGCCAAATTGATCCTCAAAGGTCACAGGCAAATGAAGCGATTGGAGAAAGTAGATGCCAACCCCAAATAAAAGTCAAACGTTAATAAGCCTCCCAGAAACCGCTTGGGCAATATCACAAACTGTGCTTGAAAGCCCGGGCCACGTTGTGCGCAAGGAGAATTTTCTTGGAAACCTTGTTCCCTTTGAAGGAGAAACGAAGCCCTCATTCTTTCTCAGGCTTTACTTTTGGCACTTGCTTTCAAAAATGATTCGCTCTGACGATGCGCTAACGCTCGAAACGTCAGCTTTGAAACTCTTTGCGGTGTCCGATTTACATTATCAGTTGATCCACTCAGTTGATAAAAACAAATTATCTTGCTTTTATTTTACTTTGCCCCGCGGGATAACTTCGTCACCCACCACAGAACTTCACAAGTACTTACAAGTTATCCTCGTTTAAATTTTCAAAATTGTAAGTTCTAATTCTGTTGTGGGTATCGGAGGCAAGAACTATTTTTCCATCATTTAGACAGTGCAATCCCATAACTCGAACACCTTCCCAAGATTCCAACACGTTTCCATCAAGGTCCTACAAGAAAGAGGAGGAAATTTCTTCATCTTCTTGCTTTTTACCCTATCTAAAAGTCCTATTTGTTTGCCCATACAAACACCAATAAGCCAAATAACATTGAAAATTGGGATTAGTCCCTGTTGTTCATTTTTTAAGATGTGTCCCTTTGACGAGGACAAAATTTTAGATAATGTATGTTTGAAATAGCTCTTCTACTATGAACAGGTACAAGACAGTCTTGCAATGAAGCAGTAAATCTGTCACAGTTTCAACTGCAGGAAGTAACGATCTGTTCTGTGACTCCATCCAATCCATGCTCATCCAATCCAGATTACCTGAATGGCATTTAAGTTATTTCTCCGAGGGGAAAGAAAAACATTTTGAGTAGAGTGAATGTTTTTCCAGTGAACTAAACACAGTAACCCCCGCCCAGCCAGGCCATGGCCTGGAGCTTACGATCCTGAAATCTGTCCATTGGACAGCCGTATCTTTCTGTAAGCAAGGAAATTATCAACCCCTGCTTGAAGAAAGTCAAAGCTCAAGATTGAAACTCCAACAACTATAGCAGTTTCAACCAAGATTGCTTTGACACTAAGTTGCAAGTTGCCATACAGAAGGGCAAACGACTTACACATTGATAAAACTGTCCTCTTTTGCCACCTGCATAAAATTTCCTTCCATCAGGGTTCCAGCTACAGCAAGTTAGACTATCATCTGCAGCTTGGGTCATTCGACATTTCAGTT